TGTGGTGGAGGTAGTGAGGTTGGCCCAGGATTGGACATTGTTTTGTTCTGCTGTGCATGAGGTCACTGTGAGTCGGTTCTGACTGTATGGCCCCTGACAACAATAGAGGAATTGATGTCTTTGAGTTACGGTGTTAGAGAAGAATATTCAAAGTATCAAGGACTACCAGCAGAACAAACAAATCTGTGTTGGAAGAAGCACAGCCAGAACGCTCCTTGGAAGACAGGATGGTGAGACAGTCTCTCATACTTCAGACATATTATCAGGAAGGACCAGTCCTTGGGGAAGGACATCATGCTTGTTTTCACTTTCAAAAAAGACGAAGACTTCCAATGAATTGGAATGGCAGTGGGAGCAGCCATGGACGCCAAGTGCAACAAGGATTGGGAGGTTGGCTCAGGACCAGGCAGTGTGTCGTTCTGTTGTGCATAAGGTTGCTATGAGTCCGAACCGACTCAATGGCATCTAACAATAACAACAGAACAACTGTCTTTGTTAAAAAGAACTGCTTTGTCTAAAAGCTAATGAAACCAAGATTAAAACAATAGCCAGTGACCTTAGGGTATAAGGGGACTTCAGAAGAAAGATGTGTTTGTTCTTAAACACTGTGGCTCTGGCCTGTGGTTAAGAGTCAAAATATTTCTGTTTCGACTAGATGTTCAACAAATCAGGAGTTCCATGCCATCTTGCCTGAGATCAGGTTGATTCTATGCCCACCAGTCACAGATGATTGGGAAAACCCTCAGCACTTTCATCCCAGGAGATGTATAAACGTACAGAGTTCAGTAAGTCACGAAACAGCATTTGAGGTGGTAATGAGAAATCCCGAGTGGATAGGACTGGATCGGCCGTGTTGTGCAGTGACTGCGTAGTCAAACAGGAATCATAGTGACTGAGTCCAAGTAGAACTGCGTTCCAGTGTTTTCAGTGGATGACTTTTCAAAAGTAGATCACTGGGCCTTTCTTTTGCTTCTTCTCTGGGTAGACTAGATTTTCCAACCTTCTGGTTAGCAGTCAAGCGTGTTAACCGTGTGCAGCACTCAGGGCCGACTGAAAGAAACCCACAGACCAGTGAGGACTCTGTGAATCCCACCCCTTCACTTTGGCTGTTGTTGTGAAGTACCATCGAGTCGGTTCCAACTCAGAGCGACCTGTATAGGGTTTCCTAGGAGCAGCTGGTGGGTTTGAACCACTAACCTTGCACTTTACCTGGGGGCCCCTTTATCCTATTGGAATTGAGAGAGGAACTGGTTGGCTGATGGGTGGGCTGGGAGCTGCTCAAGCCCTGCATTCCCTTCTGGGTTGCCCAGAGCTCTGCTCTGATGGTCCTTGGAAGAGCCCCCCCTGGCCCCCACTGAGAGATGTCCCTTAGCACCTGGTATCTGCTTAATGGGGCCACTCCACCCCTCCCAGGGCAGCTACATTTGCTCCCCACTCCAAGCTCCCAGGCTGTGTGGTCCAGGGTTCCTGGAAAGCCAGTCCTCCACCCAGTCGGGATCAAACCCCCACCTGCTAGGCACAGTCCACAGCTTTGTGAGGCAACTGAGCCTCTCTTTGCCTCCGTTTCCCTTCTTGCAAAATGGGCTGAATGATGTCTTTCTCCTTGTATAGTGTCCATGTCCAGAGGGATTGGAGATTGGAGGGGCAGCTCCCACTGCAGATGCTTGGTGGTACCCTAGGAGCCCTGGCTGTCCTCTGGACACAGATCTGAATTCATCTTGTGGTCCCAGAGCTCAGCGCCAGGTTAGGGACTGTTTGAAAGCTCCACTTGGTGACCTTGTTTTCAGTCTCATTCAGTATCTTGGCCTGTAGGAGGCAGTGGCATACTCTTCAGCCCTTCAGGAGGGAGGCTGGGCACAGGTGGTCTTGTTACAGGTCCCAGAAGCTGCGGTGGTTCTGGGAACAGCATCTGGACTGGGTCACTCAGTTAGAGCTTAAATGACAAGAAATAGCAGCTCAGGACCTGGGCACTTGGGCGGTGGGTGATGCTCTGTGGTGGAGAAGGTGAAAGGCATTCCAGTTTATTTTTGTTGTTTGTGGTTTAGAACTTCCTGCGTGGACATTTTTGGACACACAGGAAGCCCATGAGGTTAGACAAAGGGAAAGTGCTCCATGAGTTCTCACTCTCGGACCTGGAGGACTGATCTCTGCTGAGAGGCCAAGGCCCTCCCAACCCCACCCTCTCCAGAGATAGGTGCTACCACAGTTTACTGACCATTGTGATTGTCAGGAAACAGAGGAGCTGGGAGAATGGAAGACAGCCCCAACAACAGGAACTAGGGTTAGTAACCACTGTTTATGGGCCCAGGAGGGTGATGGGCATTGGAGTAATGTTGCTGACCACATACTGAGTGGTCCAGCTGTGGGATCAGCTGCCCATTGGAGCGCTGACTGTGATTCTGGCCCCCAAATGCCTTGTTTGGGCTAGGACGTGGCTGGTTAGGTTGTCCCTCTAAAGGGGCTGGACACAGTGTGCGGCACTACTGGTCTCCTCGGAGACCTCCTGAGCACTGCAGAGACAGTGCAGAGAGTGCAAAATGGGCAGTGTCCAGGAGAACATGGCTCTTCTTGGCTTGAGCCATGCGGTATACAGGGCACTCTGGGGCCAAATCTAACCTCCATCACCTTAGGGGCTTTTGAGTGGGCTTCTGCTGGGGCTTACTGGGGGGCAAAGGGGCTAGGACTCTGCCTTGGGGAGCTGGGGGTGGGCAGGGGACCACCTACCAGGTTGGAAGGTTTCTGGGAGGGGGAGACAGAGCCTGGCTGCTCAGCACTTCACTGATCAACTCCCCAAAGGTAGCGTCTGACCCTGGGCCTCCCCGGGTGTCTGTCCCCACAGTCCCCACGGGGAAGCTGAGAGGTTGGGGATTGAGAGAGGGTATGTGGGGGCTGGGGTAAGTAAGTCCTTCCCTGGAACTGTGACTATATGGCCCCTGCTGGGACTTAGGGATCCCTTGGAAGCACCTCAGTGTGGGCAGGCTGGAGGTTGCCGGGAAGGGCTGCAGAGACATTCAGATGCTGGTCACCAGGGAGATGGCAGCGCCTGCCGCCCTGCCACCTGCCCTCACACTGGGACTCAGAAGCAGTGAGAGCAGACAGCATCTCAAAGACCCAAGGAAAGGGCCTCCTGGCCTGGCCCAACCCTCCTTCCCCCTGTGGCCCAGGCCGTGCCTCAGCCAGTGGCACCAGACCACGCAAAGCAAAATCCTGCCCCAGCCATCCACCCTGAGGTTTGCTGTTCTAAAACTGGACTTTAAGTCCAGCTTCTGCCCTACAGACACAGCTATTGGCTGCCTCCCAGAACTTGGGGCTCTGCTGGGAGTACAAAATGAGCTGAGCCCATTGTGGACACCCCTCAATCATTTCACCAGATCCTGTGCACTCAACTCCTCATATTCACAAACACACAGACAGGCACACACTCAGACACATAGACAGACACACATACACACAGAGATACACTCACTCAAACACACAGACAGACAGACAGGCAGGCACACAGTCACTGAAACAAACATACGTATACACAGACACACACTGAGACAGACAGACAGACACACAGACACACAGACACACAGATATACAGAAACAAACAGACAGAGACAGGGACATAGACACATGTCCTTGTCTCACATGTCCTTGTATTTCTCAGTTAGCAGACGCACCTCCTGGGGAAACACACAGACCCCCAGATGGGCAGGAGCAGCAGGTAGGCCCCTTTTCTCTCCACCTTCAGTCTGAGCCACCAGAGCAGTCTCCTCTACTGAAGAGAAAAGGCGGACCCTGGAGGGTGATGCAGATGCTAGCCAGGGAGTGAGAAGACACAGATTCTGGGATGGCGGCTCAGTGCTGGTTGGTGAAGACCCGAGGGAGTCAAGGGTGTGTGTCCCCGGTCCACTCCCCACCAGGCACCTGGCTCTGTGCTCTCAGCCTGACGTGGAAGAATTGTCCTCAGTCAACAGTCTGCTCAGGCTGGGGTAAGACATTGCACAGCCATCCAGTACCTCCCAAAGTACTGAGGGTGTCTCTGCTTTTCCATCCGTCTGCTCCCCCCCTCACCTCCCGACTTGCACCACCAATCCTGAGTGTGATGCTACAGATGTGCAGTGCCCCCTGGAATCCCACCCCCCAACACTCACTGTCTCCTTCCCTCTTTCCTTTCCTAATAATGTGTCTCTCTTACCTGGTGTGGTGCTGCAGGCTAATGTGCTGGACTGTAAGATCGGTTTGAACTGCAAGGTTGGCGGTTCAAGCTCACCAGCTGCTCCTTGGAAACCCTATACAGGGTCGCTATGAGGTGGAACTGACTTGATGGCACTTCACAACAACAATATTTGAAAGTAGCCCTGATATGGTGCTGGAGGATAAACACTGGACTGCTCACCCTAAAGTCAGTAATTCAAACCCACCAATGGTTCCTCAGAAACCCTTTACAGGGTCACTACAAGTTAGAATCGACTTGACGCACTAAACAATGACAATCTTTGAAAGAAACACTGAACTGCTAACTGAAAAATGAGCATTTCAAGCCCATCAGCCGCTCCTATGTTGTTGTTGTTAAATGCCTCGAGTTGGTTCCAACCCATAAAGACCCTGTATAGGATTTCCAAGAAGCAGCTGGTGAGCTTGAACCGCCGACCCTGTGGTTCAAACTGACTTTGTGGTCCAGCGCATTAACCCGCAGCACTACAGAGTCACTATTAGTTAGAACCGACTCAATGGCACTTAACAATCACAACAGTCTTTGAAAATCTATTTTTTGGAGGGAGCGGTATCTTGAAAAGTCATGTAATTCCACCGCCATTGTTCTTACGGCCTTGACCTCACACGGCACATAAAGATCTGTCCTATTTTTCAGTGAAAGTTGCATCATCACCAGAGTTTTGGTGATGGCCACGACCTCTAAGCTCCTGGACAAACTGCTTTACTCTCCTTGTCCTGCCTCACCCTGACTTCAAAGACCTCCTGACCTGCTCCGTCTTGGGGGACAGGTGCATGCTCGTAGGCCACCTCTTCCAAGAATCCCTTAGAGAGCACACCCTCGTAGGCTGACCGCACCCAGAGTTACCCTGGAGGGGTCAGAGCTGTGGCTTCCCTCCAGCCCCAAGTGGAAGAGGACAGCCCATGGGCCCCTAGTCAGGTGCTCTACAGCAGCCTGACACACCCCCGCCCACTCACCCGCCCACCGGCCTGCCCAGGCTGAGTCACTGACACACCCCATGGACCTTGGCCAAACCCTGAATTCACAGAGGAGCAAGGCTGTTCTAGCTGTGCCCTCGCCTGTCCACTCTCCAGCTCCTCTCAGCACCAACAGTTTCCCGCCCCCAGAACTCCAGGGGCTGTGCCTGAGTTGTCCTGTCTGCATGTTGAGATCCATGGAGGGATGGAGGGAGGAGCTTAGAGACCAGAGTGGGTGAGGAATGCAGTAGAATGAGGAACCTGGACCAGGTGAGGATGGGGACCAGGTGAGGATGGGGACCAGGTGAGGATGGGGACCAGGTGAGGGATGGGGACCAAGTGAGGATGGGGACCAGGTGAGGATGGGGACCAGGTGAGGGATGGGGACCAAGTGAGGATGAGGACCAGGTGAGGATGGGGACCAGGTGAAGATGGAGACCAGGTGAGGATGGGGACCAGGTGAGGATGGGGACCAGATGAGGATGGGGACCAGGTGAGGATGGGGACCAGGTGAGGATGGGGACCAGGTGAGGGATGGGGATCAAGTGAGGGGTGAGGACCAGGTGGGGGATGAGGACCAGGTGAGGGACCATATTTGAGGGCTCCATCTGAGTGGGGTCCAGTTGCTCATTGTTAGAGTGAGGGCCTGGCTGGAGTGGGCTCACGGATGGGGTTGGTGTGACCCCCCACACAGCCCATGACTGGTTGGAGCAGGATCATGGATGGAGTTGGTGTGACCTCCACACAACACATGACTGGTACAATGGAGAACGTTCCCATGGCATACTCAGCGGGTAATTGTACCACTCACACCCTTCCCTGGTAGGAGATTTTTACGGAGGCTTACCTTCTTCAGAGTCCAGCACTGTGTCAGAGAGCCCCCTATCCTTTTCATGGTTGCTCTGGTGTGGAGACCTTTGTCTTTGAGTGTATGGAAAAGCCCTCACTGACTATGGTCAGGCCTCAGCGTGAGCTGGCCCATGGCCGCCTGCTGCCCACAGCTACTCCGTGTCCTCTCAGGGTATTTTTGCTCAGAGGCACTGGTTAGGGTTACAAGGTGGAGCCCTGGTTTGGCGCTGTATGATAAGCACTGGACCGAAAGGTCCATCTGTACCACAAAGTTGGTGGTTCAAACTCACCAGCTGCTCCTCAGAAACCCTATACAGAGGGTTGCTATGAGTCAGAACCACCTCGATGACACTTAATGACAACAGGGAGGTATTTAATATCTGTCTCCTGGAGGGACCTGGACCCAGGAGGACAGGCCTGGTCTGACTGGTCAAAGTGGTGTCACCAGGACTGGTGTTACCCAGTGTGATGACTTGTGGTTGTCACTCCACCTCGATGTCCTCACTTACCAGAACACACGAACCCTTAGTCATCATCAATCTTCCTCATAGACTAATATGGGATAACTATGGTTGTAAACTGTTAGATGTCAGATTTCTTAGATCATATGAATACCAACAACAAAATTTTGTGAAATCTTTCTATACTGAATTACAGCATTATTATTAAGATTATTGTAGTTACGAAGCAGAAACCTTTTTGTTTTTTTCCCCTTTTCGGTTAATTTCTACTTCATTCCTCAAAAATGTATTGATATAGGTTCACAAATTGTAATTACCACAATATTGTAGGTAAAACACCAGAAAACCTGATAAAAGCAATGACTATAAAAACACTGGCATCGGGGAAAACAGGATGGTGCAACCAGCGCAGTGATTCCAAGCATCATTGTAACTCGGCAGCAGGAAGAGCTCTGACCGGCGCATCTGAAAGTCCAAACAGTAAACGAGCAGAGAGTTTTAGCCTCGTACGTTTACTGATACATGTAAGCTGCACTTATGAAAATGTTTTTGTTGTTATAACTAACCACAGGGATAATTTGGTACAAATTTAGAACTTTTTGCTGAAACACTGCACAAACATTTTATGGGCAGCCATTTTGCGCTGGCTGGCCAGCTGCGGCATCCTCTGTGTGGAATTGGGTCTGGCTCTCAGCAAATGCTGCTTTAGTAAAAAGATGAAATGCTTTCGGTGGAGGAGGATTGAGGAATCGGTGTGTCTGCTGGAAATCCACTGGGACGCACCAGACAGAGATGATGGTGAGAATTTTCATGGAAGGAGAAAAACCTCCTACATCTTCTCAGAGGTGACAACAGAGAAGCAAACAGTGCTTCTGGGTCACCTCACACCGTAATCCACAAACCCTTTGTCCATAGTCTATCTGGGCCTCTGGGCAGCCTGAGTGGTGGGCCCAGCTGGTTGCCCAGTCAGCCAGGATCCTGTTCTGGACCCCAGACTCACTCACTGCCTGGGAGCCTTGGAGTGAGGCCACATTCCAGCCCGTGTCTAGAAGCAGATGGCCGGGTCATAGAAACCGCATGGCTGTGTCTGCACTGTCAGGGTGGTACCATGGAGACCTCAGGGCCTTCACGGAAGAGACACTGGGCCCCAACCAGGCAGACCTGTGCCTTCTCAGAGTTAGGAGGGTTGTTAGGATTGGGGGTTGGGGTGGCATGCATTGGGATGTGACTGAATTTGACTGATGATTTGGCCAGTGTCTGTGTCCATGGCAGTGCCTGGCCCGGCCCTGGCCCAAGGCTGCCCTCTTGGCCTCCCTCGTCAACCGGACGATGTGATCATGGCCCTCGACCTCAACCTACCTCCCAGGGAGTCCAGTCAGACCCTGAGTGCTGCCTGACCTGGATGAGCCCCCTGACCCTGGAACAATGTCCCTGTGACTCTCTTTCAGTTCCTACAGGAACATTGCTTTCAGGAGACCCGATGGGACAGGGTTTGAGGGTGGCCAGCTGTGCAGGGAATCGAGGCCCTGAGCTAGTGAGGAAGAGGCACCAGGCAGGGTGACAAGCAGCAAAGCATGGAGGGCCAACTGCATGGATTCAAGACCCCTCCCGATGAGCTCAGGGTCATCTCCAGCTCCCAGGGTCTTCCTTACTCCTTGGGTCCTCCCCTGTCCCAGGCCCCCTCCAAGGCTGGGACAGGCAGCTTGATTTCCCAAAAAGGTTGAGTCTTGGGCAGAGTAAGAGTCCAGGTGCCTCAGGGCAGGGCCTGAGTTTCCAGCGTAGCATGTGGACTGGCACACAGTGGGCTCTCCCTCAGTACGCAGGGTTAGCACATAGTGGGCACTTCTGGGCCCTCAGTGGATAGTACTAGTGAGCAGGACCGTCATTTGCTGCTGAGCTGCTGGCCCATTGTCCACTCCGCTCTGGATAACCCTGAGTGCTCAAGGTCACACACCTGTCCAGCAGCTGCCTGGACTCATGTCCAGGCCCAGGTGCCCTCAGTTCGCTGGAGAAGACACCATGCTTCGTGCTGTCTCCCTCCAATTTTGCTTCTCTGCACAGATGGCAAAGCAGGCTAACAAATTAGGTTAAGGAGGGTTTGGAAGAAGAATTATACATTAAGGTGACGGCTTGTGTCTGCTTCATGCTGTAATTACACGTTGCTCACTGCACTTACTAAATGCTAAATTATAAGCGTTTGGTCTTGATACCTCATTTGACCACAATTACAATAATTACTCCCCTACTAAGAGGTCAGCAAAAATGACCTCGGAAGGGGAAGTTGGCTTGTAGAAATGAGTCGGGGAGACTGGAGGTGTCCAGGGACGCATGGTGTGAACTACGTATGAACACTGCCCTGGACAGTGGGGTCCATGTGCTTTCCCACTGATGAGATGGAGTCCAGCTTCCCAAGGCTCGCGGCACAGTAAAGGGCATGACAAGCAAGCATTCTAAATATTTTTCAAATTCGAAGAGTAAAATGTCCTGGCTGTGTTTGGGAAGAATGTTTAATGCAGTGCCCGGTTTCTTTGGAAGGGACTTGCTTCTTTAATGAGCAGTCCCAGGTGACCACTGCTGCCTATTTGGGCATAAACACGAAAGCCCGCTGTGCCACTGGGTTGATTCTGACTCTTAGGACAGAGCAGACCTGCTCCCTAGGGTTTCCGAGATGGAAACTCTTTATAGAGAGCTTCATTCCCCCCCCCCCCCCCCCGCCAGGACCTGGTGGGTTTGAACTGTTGACCTTTCAGTTAGCAACCCAACACTCAATCCATTTTGCTGCCAGAGCTCCATGTGTTGGGCCACATTTGCTAACTGAGCGACTCAGAGCTGTGAGGAGATGTGTGAGAGACCAGGAAACCCTTGTTGGAGAGGTAGAGCCAGGAACAGACATCGCTGGAGGGAACCAGTCCCCCTCAGCTACCACCCTGACACCAGAAACCCCACAATACCCTGAGAAGTGACCCCCTGTGTAGACAACAGCTGCCCAGGTCCCAACTCCACAGGCAGTGTGTGACTAGTGTGGTGACATGGCCAGAGGCCTGACTGCCACTCCTCACGGCTTCCTGCACCCGACCTCAGAAATGACTTCCCTTCTGACAGACCTCAGGCCCAGCCAATGGGGCACTGCCCAAAAGCTTGTTGAGAAGAGAATGGCTGGAGAAGATGAAATCCATCAGTGTACTTTCCTGAGGCACTGTTGGGTCCAGTCGTGGGTCCTGGTCGAGGACGTGGCCACTCAGCTCTTTCCTGCCAGGTGAGTCCTGCCCATGGGGTACTGCAGAAGAATCATCCAGGGCCTAACCCATCTGTGGCCTCTACTCCTAGAACATGGTCCTGTCATAGGAAGCTGCCCATGAGAGGTCTGAGAGGTCGAACACAGAGTGCAAGTTGACATGGTGTCCATGGTTGGGCTGGAGGGCCCCCATGCTTTGAGTGAACCCCTGTGAGTGTACATAGTGTACCTGGCCACAATGATGGCTACTCTGTCCTCAGCTCGTCCCTCCCACACAGTGCATAGAGAGATGCTGTACGGGCACGGTCATCTCTGTCCTCAGCTCGTCTCCGCCCCCCCCTCCCCCCCCACACACACACAGTGCATAGAGAGGTGCTGTACGGGCAGGGTCATCTCTGAGCCACTGTGATTTCTTGACTTTTAATGGTCAGTGAGTTTGGACAGGGGCCAGCCTCCTCAGCTGTTGTACCCTAAAGGGATGTAGAACCCTCACTGAAGGTACCCATAGAGCAGGTGTCTGTGGGTGCTCACTCTTAGGCGTTCGCAGAGTGGGGTCCCCAGTCAGGTGTCCATAGTCCTCGAGAGCAAGCATGGGAGGGCATTTGTGTACATCCCGCAACTCAGCTGAGTCCTGACAGGTGCCCCGCGTTTGGAGGAAAAATCTGTCCCCAGTGAAACAGCACCCAGGGCTCCGCATACTCAGTGCCAGTCCCTGCCCAGTGTGGAAGGTGCTGGTGTGGTCCCATCCTGGCTGAGCCAAGGGTGATGGTCCTAGCATCTATGGAGTGACGTGCTCCAGTACCTTTTCTGTGTAGAACGGAGGACCCTTGTAGGCATCTCCAGGAGGACATGACCCCCAAATCTGCCCAGACCCATCCCTTGGTGCCTTCATTTGACTGGCCTGAGGGGGAGACAGGACAGACAGCTATGATCTGACAGCACAGCCCAGCCTTCAGCTCCCAGAGTCCCAAACACAAAAGTGCCCCCAGGCACCAGGAATCCCTTTTGCAGAGACATTTCATTAGTAAATGGTTTTCAGGGCCAGACAGATGAGCTGAGTCAGTAGAGTTGCTGAACCAGGGGGCTGGTGATGCTGCCTAGCAGGTGGTAGAGCCGGTTCTGCTGCCCGGGCCCCACCCAACGGCTCAGTTGTCAGAGGAGGGAATCTGGACAGTCCTGCTGCGGGGACCCTCCAGGAATCTGAGGGCTAACGTGGGACAAGCTGGACATGGCCTAGGATGCCTGGAACACGGGGCAAGCTGTATTAGTCTGGATGAGTTGTTCTTTTAACGAATAGATCTGACTTTTCAGAGCACAGTCTAGAGTTCCCACATACTCTTTTACCTTCGCCACAGTTGCCTGTCAGGAAGATCTTGTAGCAGTGCGGTACATTTGTTACACTTATGAAATAATTGTTGTTGTCTAGTCGGTTTCAACCCATAGATACAACAGAACAAAACAACCCCGTGTACAGCCCTGTGTACGAAACACTGCCCGGTTGCGTGCCGTCTTCACAACTGTTGTTATAGTTGAGACCCATGCTGTTGCCACTGTGTCTGTCATTCCACCTCATTGAGGGTCTTCCTCTTTGACGCTGACCCTCCACTTTACCAAACATGATGTCTTTCTCCAGGGACTGGTCCGTCCTGACAATGGGTTCAAGGCACAATCTGGCCGTACTTCTTCTAAACTCGATTTGTTTTCCTGGCAGTCCATGGTGTAGTCACTATCCTTCCCCAATACTGTAATTCAAATGCTTCAGTGCTTCCCCAGTCTTCCTTGTTTCTCTCCCAGCCTTACTGTGCGTATGAGGTGATTAAAAATACCATGGTTTGGGTCAGGCACATTTTAGTCCTCAAAGTGACATCTTTGTCCTTTGACACTTTAAAGAGGTCTTTTGCAGAATGTTTACCTAATGATTTCTTGACTACTGCTTCCATGTTTGTTAATTGTTGTTGTTGTTAAGTGCTGTTGAGTTTGTTGATTGTTGCTCCTGTTTGTGAGGATTTTCATCTTCTTTACATTGAGGTGTAATCCATACTGAAGGCTGTAGTCTTTGAACTTCATCAGTAAATACTTCAAGGCCTTTTTGCTTCCAGCAAGCAAGGTTGTGTCATCTGCACATCTCAGGTTGTTGATGAGTCTTCCTCCAATCCTGATGCCAGTCTTCCTGTCATCCAGCTTCTCAAATGATTTGCTCAGCCATACAGACTGAATAAGCATGGTGAAAGGATACGATGCTGGTACACACCTTTCCTGATTTTAAACCATCCGGAGTCCCCTAGTTTTGTTCGAATGACTGCCTCTAGGTCCATGTATAAGTTCCTCATGAGGATAATGAAGTGTTCTGGAATACTCATTCTTTGTAATGTTTGTTATGATCCATACAGTTGAATGCCTTTGCATAATCAATAAAACACAAGTATACATCCATCTGATACTCTGCTTTTAGCCAAGCTCCATTTGGCATCAGCCATGATATCCTTTGCTTCCAACAGGATAAAAGGGGTGCCCTAGTTCAAGCTTACCAGCTGCTCCTCGGAAACCCTATACAGGGTTGCTATGGGTCGGAACTAACAACAACAACAACATGCAAAGGAAACGCTCCCTCCCCACTAAGGTCCCTTGGAATCCCTCCTGAAATGTATCTTGGCTGGAGAAGAGATGAAGAAACAAGATCAAGTTTCTCCATCTTTAGAGGCTCCTGAGCTTCTGGAGTGTGAGGCTGTCAGCTGACTTGTTGTTGTTGTTGTCAGGTGCCATCGAGTCAGAACCGACTCATAGCGACCCCATGCACAGCAGAACGAAACAATGTCCGATCCTGGGCCAACCTCACTACCGCCGCCACACTTGAGTCCATCAATGAAGCCACCTGGCCAATCCATCTCGTTAGGGGTCTTCCTCTTTTTCTCTGACCCTCCACCCTGCCCAGCATGACATCCTTCTCCAGCGATTGTTTCCTCCAGACAGTATGTCCAAAGTAGGAGAGACGAAGCTTAGCCATCCTGGCCTCCAAGGAGCACTCTGGCTGCACTTCTTCCAAAACAGATCTATTGGTTCTTTAGGCAGTCCATGGCACTTTCAGTATTCTCCTCCAACACCACAACTCAAAGGCATCAATTCTTCTACGATCTTCCTTATTCACTGTCCAGCTTTCGCATCCATATGAGGTTATTGAAAATATCATGGCTTAGGTCAGGCGCACCTTAGTCCTCAAGCTGACATCTCTGCTCTTCAATACTTTAAAAAGTTCCTGTGCAGCAGATTTGCCCAATGCAATATGTCGTCTAATCTCTTGACTGCTGCTTCCACGCGTGTTGATAGTTGATCCAAGAAGAATGAAGTCCTTGACAACTTCAATCTTTTCTCCATTGGTAAGAATGTTGTTTATTGGTCCAGTGGTGAGGATTTTTGTTTTCTTGACATTGAGATGTAATCCATATCGAAGGCTGTGCTCTTTGATCTTCATCAGTAAATGTTCCAAGTCAGCTGACCAGTGCCGTAGAAAGGCTGCTCTGTAGTCCAGGAGTTTCTATGGAGGGATGCTCGCTGCTCGCTGCCTGACCCAGACAGATAGAAGACACATCACCCATGTCAGGCGGGGCTGAGGTCGTGTGTGTCCTGCTCTTACCACCTCCAATATGGGAGCGTCTAAGAGTCTGGCGCTGTGGATTAATGCACCAGACTGCAAAGCCATTTGAACTGCAAGGTTGCCGGTTCAACCTCACCAGGTGCTCCTTCGAAACCCTCTACAGAGTCGCTATGGGTCGGAACCGACTCGACGGCACTTAACAACAACAACAACGAGGCCCGCAGCCAGAGCCTGGTGGGTGCAATGGGTGTTTAGTGTGATGGACACTCTGAAATTCCGGCATCACGGATTTCCCCCTGGGGCAATGTCCCAAGACGATTTGGATGCCAAACCTGTGTGAGGAATGCTACTGATATGAAGGTATAGGGGCCAGGGATGTTGCGGAAATCCAACAGGACGCCCCCACCACAGCCACCCTGTCTGTGTCAAGTGGGCATCAGCAGTGGGGACGGGGGCGGTGGCGCAGCACGTCCAGCGGAGAGGCAGGATCCATAAGCCCACTCCCGGGCCTCCGCTTCAGAGCAACCAACCCTAAAACTTCCTGAGCGGAGTCCACTGCCCGCAAGCAGCGCAGGCTTTCCGCGGAGCTTGCGACCTTTTCCACAATCCTGACCTCCCCTTGGCCGGCCGAAGTACTGGGGATCACACAAACCCGGCGGAGGGTACGGGGCCAGCTCGCAACACCGGCCCACAGCACCCGCCAGCCAAGGCTTTACCGCGGGTGGAGCGGCTGGTGAGGCGCTCGGCTAGCTCCGCACCCCGTTGGGGTCTCGGGTTTCGGCCCGCCCCTCTCCTTGCACAGGCCGCAGCCCCGCCCCCGCCCTCCTGGCTTTCCGACTCTTTCACTTTGTCTCCTCCCCGAGAGTCCCCTTCCTCTCCGGAGCGTCCCACCCCCCGGCCACACGCCCCAGCCACTCCGTGCTCCCTGCCCCGCTGCCGACTCAGAGGCCGCAGGGCCCGGGTTCCGGTGCGCGGGGGCGGGTCCGGACCGGGGGACTGGGCTCGGGCTGGGGGCGGGACCTGGGGCGGGCCGGCCGGTCGGGCTCCGCCCCCCAGCTGAGCCGGGACCGCAGACCACGGACTAGTCAACTTCAGAGTCTAAGCGCGCGGCTACACTAGCTCGGTCGGCTCCGACTCCGGCCGGGATGGGCGGGCGACCGCTGCGGGTGCGCCGAGGGCGCGCGACGTGACCCGCCTGGGAATCTCGAGTCCGCCCCCGGCCGCGCCTGGTCGAGGGTTTGCCTTGGGGGGCGCGGGCCCAGTCCCGCCGGGGCAGCAGAGCCGGAGCATGCGGGGCGCAGCGCGGGCGGCCCGGGGGCGCGCGGGGCAGCTGTTGCCGCGGTCCTCCGCCCCCGGCCCGGCCCCACCACCGCTGCTGCTGCTGTTGGCCGTGCTGCTGGGCGGCGCGGGCGCGCAGTACTCGAGCGACCTGTGCAGCTGGAAGGGGAGGTGAGTTGGCGCGGGGGACCCCGGCCTCCGGCCGCCCCTACCCCAGCGGGCCGAGCGTGTGGGGGGCTCGGCGGGCGGGGCGCTCCCTGGGCTGAGTCCCGCCTCTGCCCCTAGTTCCAGGTTCTAGAACAAAAGAGCCCGCGGCGGCAAGGTCCCCTGGCCCGGAGGACGCCCGAGAGAGGCGCGACCTCAGAGCTTTGGGGTCCCGCCAGCCGGACGCCTCCGCGCCCTGCGAAGTCGGTCCCCACTGAGATGCCGAGTGCTGCGAGCCTCTGACTACGCCTCGCATGGCTGGCAGAGCGAGGAGGGACCGGGATCAGTCTTCGGGCCACTGTGGGCTCCTGTCTGTGGCGGGGAGTCGCGCGCTCTGGGCCAGGAGGTGCCCGGCCTGTCGCTGGGCCTGGGTGGGAAGGGGCGGCCCGGTCGCGAGGGAGAGAGCGGGTCCCTTACTGACCGCGGTGGTGTCCACCGTCCTAGCGGCACCTGTGCGCGGAGACCGAACGCGGGCCCCGCGGAGCCCCCGGTCGGCTGAAGGTCAGGCCGCCCTTGCCGGCCCGCGCGCTGAGCCTGGCGACCCTCCCCCCTCCCACGTCCCTCGCGGTGGCGGCCGAGGACTTTCTTTTAATTGAAGTGTGACACGCAGAGAGGGGCGCGAGTCAGCAGTGCGCGGGCGGGGCGCTTTGAGAGAGCGCGGCTCCTATGCCGCAGCCGGGACTCAGCTCCTCGAGCTCGTCCCGGCCAGAAACCCCCAGTTTGCAGTCAGTTTTGTGCCCATGAAGTTGGCAGATCTGGAGTTTGCTAAGTGTACTGTGGACCCAGGAGTGGGGCTGTCCTTGTGTGGGGGGCTCGGTTGTTACCCATGGAACAGGGTCCTCCCCGCCCTCCCCCCAGCTCCAAACCCCTGTTCCAGAGGTCTGAGGGGCAGGCGGCTTCCAGCTGGCAGCAACAGGGATGTGGGTCACGGGTTTAGTGAAGCCGGTTTTCCAGCAGGTTGGGGGTTCCAGTCACCTGGCTAGGGAGGTCAGAGAGTCCGCTGCTGGTCACCTCGGAGTCTCAAAGCCCCCCTCACCTCCTTCAGCGTGGGAATCCGCTCTCACCCCACATCCCTTCTCAGGACCCCCTTCTCCTTCCTGGAATGAGGCTCTGGCCCAGGGGATTTGGACTAGAGGGTTTCCCAGTGGACTTGGAGTCCGGCTCAGGGGGCTTCCAGGGAGATATCTGCCTCCTCTGCTTACACTGGGGAGGGCTGAGGTTGATTGAGGCTGGGACTGGGGTGAATGGACAGACTGGAGCCCATGGGGAGGGCTGGCCTGGGGAATGTTGGCGCCAGCCTCAGCTGGCCCTGAGCCTCTGAGCTGACACACTCTTGTGGGGCTCCCCTCTCCCCTGAGCTAGTCATTAAACACCCTGCTCACAGCCTGGGCTGCCCTGCGTGTCAGAAACAGAGCTCAGTCTCCGCCCCCTCAAGCCTGGGTCTCTGAGGAGCAGCCAGACTTGCAGGGTTTCAGAGGCCTGTATGTATGTATGTATGTATGTATGTATGTATGTATAAAAGGGGAGTGTGGCGCTGTGGGTTAATGCGCCAGACTGCAAAGCCTTTTGAACTGCAAGGTTGGAGGTTCAAGCTCACCAGCTGCTTCTTGGAAACCCTATATAGGGTCACTATGAGTTGCAGCCGACTCAACGGCACTTCACACCAACAACATGTATGGAAGTGTGGTCCTGCTTCCCTGGGGGCTGAAGGCAACTGTGAGTGAGGGGTGGTGGGGAGGTCCAGCCCCTTTAGCAGGTGCTTGCCATAGGAGGACCCACATTTCCTTCCACTCAGAGAGGCAGAGGGGTCACCTGTGAACCCTCCTCCCTCATCATCTGCTAAGACCCTGGATCGACCCTTCAGAGCCTCCATTAGAGTGAGTAGCAGCTGCCAGGGCCTGGAGCTGCAGACTGGATCAGGAGAGGAGACAGAACCTGGCCAAATTCTTGGGGCATGAAGCCTGTGATGTTGGCCCCCTGTCATCTTGAATAAAGATCAGCTGACAGACTCAGTGTCGGAAGCCTGGGGGTGGAGGGTGGTTGATCTGTAGCTCCTCTGAGGCGTTTATGACTTTTTATGAGCTGTTGTGAAGACAGTGCAGGGTGGAGCAAGCCCGATATGCCTGGTGGCCCCGATGCCCAGATAGGACGGGTGCTGTTTGTCATGAGACTGTCCGCGCTTGTCTGCGGGCCCAAAGTATGTTTCTAGGTGTTTCCAGGCAATTAAGTGGGTGGTTCTAAATCCTCTTTGGTGCCCTGATTTGTATTAGTCAGTAGCCATAAAGGTGGACCATGAACTTTTCACGCCATCAGCGCTCGGCTTGGCAGGTACAGTGGCTGGTACAGGCACACCTGGGCCACCTCACCTGCAAGTTGGGGAAAGGAAGGCAACTCCAATGAGCACAGCCTTGGGGTCTCACCTTGCTCACAAGCTCTTTGTGACTTCAAGTGAATGAGACTGTGCTTTTGATTCCGTGTCTCAGGCTTGAGCCAGGTGTGGTGTGAGTAGCGTGGCCCCTACTGGACCTTCAGCCTCTACAGAGACCTGTTTGTGAGGCCCCATGCTGACGTGGAACTGCTCTCCTTTTCCATCAAGGTGTATCCAGCTGGGCAATGATCAGGGGTGACTTCTCCTGAACAATACGTTTGTTCAGTTGAATGAATCCATGTCTGAATAATTCTTATTCTCCTCCAGTGGAACAGAATTGTAGCTTCATCTTCACCTTTTCTTTTGTCACCCCACCAGGAAGTATTTTAGCGGCAATACTAGTGTAGCGGTTACGAATCGGGCTGCGAACCATAAGGTCAGCAGTTCGAAACTACCGTGGGAGAAAGATGAGGTTTTCTGCTCCCAGAAAGATTTACAGCCTCGGAAACCCTGGACAGGGTCACTATGGGTCGGAACCGACTCCACGGCCCATAACCACCACCATCCATGTCAGCAGCTCAGGTAGGATGCAGGTCTAGTTCTGCAGTTCATGTGGAAATCATGCAATCCTACTGCCAGTGATCTCTGAACCTATGCTACGTTTTTGCAACGAGGAGCTCTGGTGCCATACTGGTTACAAGTCGGGCTGCTCACCTCAAAGTCAGCAGTTCAAAACTTCCAGTTGCTCCTTGGGAGAAAGATGAGGCTTTCTGCTCCTGTAAAGATTTATGGCCTCAGAAACCCTGTTCAGGGTCACTATGAGTTGGAACCGACTCCATGGCACATAACCACTACCATCACTTCTGCATAAATGGAAGTTTTGCTGCGGTACTGGGTATGCAGAAGTGAGAAGTTTTGGGAAGAATTGGTGAAGATCTCGAACTCTGACCCCATTCAGGGGTTTGTCCAGGTCATACACCACTGACATCTGTGTGAAGATTTCCATGTGGAAGGCCTGGTTGTATGCTTGTTGTTTTGAGGGAAATCTGAGAGAGGAGGCACTTGTCAGCAGCAGGCTCTGGAAACGCACACAGATCTTTCTTTCTCTGTGGGCTTTTGAAAAACACTAGCTAGCTAAAGGGTTAAGTGATGGGACCCCTTATCGAAACTACCAGCCGCTCCGCGGGAGAAAGATGAGGCTTTCTACCCCCTTAAAGATTTACACCCTCGGAAACCCTGTACAGGGTCGCTATGGGTCGGACCCGACTCAACGGCACTTAACAACAACAACCACCACCTTTAGTTAAGGAGCTCTGGTAGCGTAGTGATTATGAATCGGGCTGCGAACCTCAAGGTCAGCAGTTCGAAACTACCAGCTGCTCCGCAGGAGAAAGATGAGGCTTTCTGCTCCCGTAAAGATTTACAGCCTCGGAAACCCTGTACAGGGTCGCTATGAGTCGGAATCGACTCCACAGCACAGAACAACAACAACAACAACAACCTTTAGTTTACTTTCCGTTTTAAGTCCTGATGCAGTGCATTAGGATAAGCACTGCGCTGGTAACTGCAAGGTTGGCAGTTCAAACCCACTAGCAGGGTCGCTATGAGTCGTAACTGTGTCGGCTGCACCCAACAACAGCCCCCTTCAGTTGAGGAGCCCTGATGGCATAATGGGTTACATGTTGAGCTGCTAGCCACAAGACCAGCAGTTTGAAACCACCAGCTGCTTCTCGGGAGAAAAATGAGGTTGTCTGGACCCATGAATATTTACAGCCTCAGAAACCGTAGTTCTCCTCTGTCCTGCAGGTTTGCTGTGAGTCAGAACTGACTCAGTGGTTGTGGGTACCTTCATTTTGTTCCCAGTCCTTTTTTGGTGGAGTGACTTCTGAAGAAATCAAACCAGGGTAGTGTGTGCAAGCTAGGTATGGTGGCCCCAGACTCAGGTAACCTATCTCCCTTAGCAGCCTGTGTCCAGGAGATGTAGGCGACGCTGGGCTTCGCTGTTTCCCCACTCCGTGCCCAGGATAAAAGGAAAACACTTGGGCATGGGCTCTGAGCCCTTTGGCCCCTGGGACCCTCTGGTTTATGTGTAAGAGTTGAGAATTGGTGTCTGTGGAGGGCAGGGTTGTATTCTTGTTGTTTTGAGAAAAATCTGAGAGAAGAGGCACTTCTCGCCAGCAGGCTCTGGAAACGCACACAGATCTTTCGCTGTGTCCAACTGCTCCTTGATGCTGGAAAAGAAGAGGAGAGGACTCTCTGAAGGTTTGTGTGTTGTGGCTGCCTAACAGCAGAGTTGTTTGTAGTTACCTGTGGTAGCCATTCACTGTTTAGTCTAATTTTCACACAGCGTGGTTGTTGTGTGCATGTCCATACAGTGTCAGCTGGGCTGTGGGAGCTGTGTTTGACTGCAATTTGTAAGTCTGTCTTCATTGTGAAGCCCTGGTTAGCTGTCTGAATTGGGACGGCTGATTCCAACCCAGGACATTGGGTAGGGGGGTGGACAGGAAGCAGGGCCAGAAGGGGGTTCACCTCAGCACCTCCTTGTGATGTGGTTCGCAGGATGACTGTGCAGCCCTGGCCTGCACACAGCCATCGTATGACAAGGGAGGCTTTACGGAGCCAGAGCATGAGTCAATCAACAGTAAATGTGAACCATGTGTTGTGTGCTCTCGCCTCCTCGCAAGGGGTTTCTGGTAACTCGCTCAGGCAGGGACTCTGAATATGGCATTGTTTATTCTACCTAAAAATCCAAGGAATGCGGGTAAACCTGTCTGCGATTTGATCAGAACCAAATTTCATGTAATAAGACACTGAGTCTAAGTCACTGGTTGAGGTCCAAGACCACTCAATGGTCGTGATGTAACCGTTAGCTGTAGGTGACATTCTGGAGAGAAACTGCAACATTCTTGATAGCTTCAATTTCTTAAAAACTAAACAGTCTGAATTTTTTCCGTTTGACAAATATTAGGGGCACAGTCTACTCGCTATTTTAAATATTCCTGTCAGAAGGTAGAGTGCCTGCCTGTTTCCCTCTTGATTTCCACACGCCCATAGAGGAGGCTACTTACTTTTCAAATGCTGCTTGCTTTGGTGGTATTTTAAGTTTATTTTTAAAAGTACTCCTGACATGCAGGCTCCTCAGATTTGGGGATGAATGAATGAATGGACGGATGGATGAATGAATGAATGAATGAGACAAATCATCAAATTGTCACTTTGAGGAAAATGAGGCTTGTCTGACAGATGCAGCTCAATACAGTAGCTTCCACCACCCAAGTGACTGACTCTCCTGGACGTGTTAATGACTTGTCTGTGGGTTCCCCAGGCACAGGGGCTGCGTGGGGTCACCTTCTTTTCCTTTGTTGATTATCTGACAGCATCCGAGTCTGTCACTTCTACCACACCCACCACCTCTGGTTGCCAGGATTCCAGGGAACCCAAAGGTCCTCTGAGTCCCAAAGTCAGTGAGCATGGAGGAGGGTCCCAGTACCTCGTGGTCCCTCTCACATCAGAGGCGACTGTATGGACGGCCCTCCCCCCTACTTCCCCCTGACATGGGCTCCACGCCTATGGGTCTGGCCTGCGTGTGCTAAGGGGCATGGTGAGGGGCTACCAGTGTGGTAGGAGGACCACCGGCTGACGGCTCTGCTCTTCCTTCCCCACAGCGGGCTGACTCATGAGGCGCACCGGAAGGAGGTGGAGCAGGTGTACTTGCGCTGCTCCGCAGGCACGGTGGAGTGGATGTATCCCACCGGCGCACTCATCGTCAACCTCCGGCCCAACACTTTTGCACCTGCCAAGCACCTGACTGTGTGCATCAAGCCAGCTTCGGGCTCCTCGGGGGCCAACATCTACCTGGAGAAGACCGGGGTGCTACGGCTTCTGGTGCGGGACGGGGAGCATGGCCCGCGCCGTGTGCGCTGCTTCGGCCTAGACCAGGGCGGCCTCTTCGTGGAGGCATCGCCCCAGCAGGACATTAGCCGCAGGACCACAGGCTTCCAGTACGAGATGGTGCACCGGCGCTCGGGCTCCGACCTACTGGCCCTCTCTGGTGAGTGGAGCCAGGGTGTGAGGGGTTTGATGGGTGCTGACTCTGGGGCATCCAGGGCATGTCTGGACATCGGGGGCCATGCTGGCACTGGGGGCCCCGGGGTTGGGGGTAAACACCAGGAAATTGTTGGGATAGCCCCATTGTGTGTTGACGCTGGGACCTCTGGGTCATGCTGGGGCCATACTGGTATTGGGGAAGGGGCACGCTAGGATGAGTGGGATACACCAAAACATCAGGGGCACATTGGCTGTGCTGTATCCTCACTCTTGGTGGGACATGTGCCCCCACCCCACCCCAGTGCAGCCTTAGTGGCCTTGCAATAGAGCCCTGGGAGTTGAGGGGGCAGTGGAGCCCAACGGGAACCCCCAAGGGTGAGACTGGACTTTGGCACCAGGTCCCCAGGCTCCCAGTTGGTTTGGCTTCATTATTGCGCGTTGGGAACAGACGCTGCCATCTTTCAGAGCGTCAGTGCTTTTCTGTACAAGTGTTTTGGACGTGTGAGGATGAGGTGGGCAGCACAGAGCTGTGAAGTCCAGGTGGAGGGCCAGGCCACTTGATGGGGATTGAGAAAGAGCAAGTCTCTCAGGGTGGAATGGTCTCTGAAGTGTGGCATTGAGACCAAGCCTTTGTTTGGAGGAAGGATACCTTAAAGTGCACCTGAAGTGTCAGTGTAGCCTCATAGTGAACACTGGAGGGTGTCGGGAAGAAAGGGAAGAGGGAGTCTATGGGCCCAAATGGGTGACCTGGGCTGTCTTCCAGCTACAGTTCTGGTAGCTTTGGATCATGTGGGCCACCTTCTCAGACCTGGACACACAGAGCACCCCCATTTCTGGGGGCCCTGGGGCCCTGGGCAGGGTCTGAGGTGTGTTTAAATGTCTAGACTCAGGAGAGGACAATGCTGCATCCAGTGGTTGGAAGTGGGGCTGGTGCTCCACACAGTGGTCCGTTCCTCATGTCTGGTGCTGAGGTAGACACCTGCTTGGAACTGCACTGATCTAGCATGGAATAACCTCCAGGTTTCAGTCAGAGAGAGAGTCGGCAGGGAGAAGTCGTAGGCTTACCAGGATCGGGGACACCCAGTTTCACTCCTGAATGGGAGCTTGTGCTTTACTGATGTGACTTCCTGGCTCAGCCCCACATGCAGAGCCTTGAGTCACCCTCCAATGAAGCGAGTCTCTTAGTGCGCTTTGGCATGAAACTGCCAAGTGCAATGACCGGGTTCAGGCACTGGAGCTATAAAGAGTATGCACAGAGTATCTGGTTGGTTAGATGCGAAATAAAACTGTAACAGAGCTGTCTTCTTCTGGGTCATCAGCAATTATGGGGTGGTAGGGAGCGAACTGGGCTGCGCCCTGGGGAAGCCTGGAGACAGAGCAAGTCTTAGTGTCAAACTGAACAAGCCTCGAAAAGCCCGGGACCCTGATGGAGTCTTCCCTAACTGGGCCCGGCCTAGTGGCTCCAGCTAGAAGACATGGGTCAGATGCTGGGAGCTTGTTGACACTTCTCTCCCTCTTTAACATTTTGATCAGCGTTGAACACACTCAGCACAAAATGTCACTGTGCATGACCCGTGTGATCTTTATAAGATTGATTCCAATTTATAAGGACATGCTGCGGGGTGGCAGGGCGTTTACTGCAGCAACTGCCCACTGGATGTTTGTGTTTGCGTAGACCAGGGCTCCGGGTGGGAAATTGGCTGTGGCCTCTGCCCAAGGAGCCCAGGGTCTGAGGCCTCCATGCCTCGGTGTCCAGCTTGCAGACCGGGCAGGTACAGATCCAGCACAGGCCTAGGGTTGGTGGCCAGCTGCCTCTGGCAGCTCTAAGCTCCCTGTCCCCCCACAACGTGCCCTGGGCTCTGTAATGACCATTCTGCACAGTGATCAGCATTGTCTAGGATGGCCCTTCACTGGGCCGATAGATGGAGTGCAGCCGAGGCCCTGGGGGCTCATGTGTCCCTCTCTGGCATTTGCTTTTCAACAGGGATGGGGCCTTAAGCCTTTAATGCCAAAGGAATGGGTGCGTAATTGTGGAATGTCAGCCCGGCCATCTGGCAGCCAGCATCTCGGCCAGTGTTGCATGATGTCTGTGCTCTCCTGGTTTCTGCTGCCCGAGAGTTGGCCTCCTCCGTCTGGCCCTGACCCCATAGGGTTTTTAGGGTCTGGGATCTAAGTCAGGTGGCCACTTCCCTGGTGAGACAGGGAACATGGTGAGGAGGTGGGGTGAGCCTTCCACTGAGGGGGAGAGGGGTGTGTTTCTAGCATGTCATGTGACCCACATGATGGACGTTCTTGTATAAACAGAAAAGCAGAAAGGAGCCCTCCTCACTGCCTCCCCTTGAGGAACACAGACCACACCCTCACGCAGGCTTTAAAAACCTGGCAGGACCCAAAGCCAACAATTAAACTAGTGGAGGAAGTACCGCCCAGGACGCGGGGGAGGTTAGGTGGTGTAGGATGTGGGGGAGGTTGGGGTGTTGTAGGATTCTGGACAGGTTGGAGTAGAGGTCAGCATGGAAGTCAGGGCTTTGTAGGATGTGGGGAGGTTAGTGGGGGGCGTGGGTTGGGGTGGAAGCAGGGATGCTGTAGGACATGGGGGACGAGGTGTGTGGTGGAAGTAGCTGGGGTGGGGGGATGTGGGGCAGTCTGGGAAACGGATCCTCAGCCCACACTGGGATCCTGTCTGCTCTCCTGTCCCCAGTTGCTGTAGCAGGTGACTCAGCTCCCATGACTCTGGGTTTGGGGTCTCATGGAGCTGGGAGAGTGGGAAGCTGGGAGAGGCAGGTTGGCATCCACGAAGCTGCAAGCACAGATTCAGGGCCCCTAAGGGGCTCCTTGGAGTCCTGGGGTAGCGCTGTGGGTCAATGCTCCTGACTCCAAAGCCATTTGAACTGCAAGTTTGGTGGTTCAAGCTCACCAGCGGCTCCTTGGAAACCCTATACAGGGTCGCTGTGGTTCAGAACCGACTCGACTGCACTTCACAACAAGGGGCCCCTTTGGAGTCCTAGTGTGGTGCTGTGGGTTAATGCACTGGACTGAAAAGTTGGTTTGAACCACAAGGTTAGCAGTTCAGGCTTACCAGCCCCTCCTCGGAAACCCTAAACAAGGTTGCTACGGGTCAGAACCGACTCAACGGCACTTCACAACAAGGGGCCCCTTTAAACCTGCTCAGTTTGCTGAGCCTGCAACTCTGAACCCCCACCTGCAGCTTTGAGGCACCTTGGTGGAGGCGGGGCTGGCAGGGAAAGCTCGGAAGTGGAAAGCCCCTCCCCTTATTCCTGGAAACAGAATGGGAGGTGTCGCATGCCCCTTGACCAGTGGCTGCCTGCAGTGGAGCTTCTTTCTGCCGAGAGATCTTTTTATGGGCCCCTGATGTCAGGGGCAGAAGGGTGTGGCGCCCCCTCCCTTGCTGGGAGTGTTTGTGGAGGGGGGAGGTGCGCGGGAGGTGACTGAGCCCACAAAACTTGGCTATCACATTGCCTAGAACCCCTCTCCTGGGCCTTCCCTCTTTCTTGTTGTTGTGAGGTGACATCCAGTCAGCTCCAATTCATTGCGACTCTGTGCACGAGAGAACGAACCCCTGTCCGGTGCTGTACCACCCTCACAATTGTATGCTTGAGCCCACTGTAGCTGCCACCCTGTCAGCCATCTCCTTGGGGGTCTTCCTCATTTTCAGTGACCCTGCACTTTATCAAGCATGAAGGACTGGTCCCTTCTGACAACATGGCCACAGTATGAGGGATGAAGTCTCTATGGAGCACACCGGCTGTACTTCTTCCAAGACAGCTTTTTATGTGCTTCTGACAGTCTATGGTACTTTCAGTGTTTTCCCACAGCATCGTAATTCCAATGGTCTTCCTTATTTATTGTCCAACTTTCACAAGCATAGTAAGCCATTGAAAATAATACCATGACTTGGATCAGGTGTACCTCAATCCTCAAAGTGTTGTCTTTGCTCTTTAACACATTCAAGAGGTCTCTTACATCAGACTTGCCCCATGCCAGTACGTCAGCTGCGGATACAAGCAAAATAAAGTCTTTGACAGCTTCAGTCTTTTCTCCTTTTATCATGATGTCGTTTATTGGTCCAGTTGTAAGGATTTTGATTTTCTTTACATTGAGGTGCATTCTATAAGGAAGGTTGAAGCTTTTGATCTTTATCAGTAAATATTTCAAGTCTTCTTTGCTCCCAGCAAGCAAGATTGTGTTATTTGCATATCTCAGATTGTTAATGAGTCTTCCTTCAATCCTGACGTCCTGTTCTTCATATGATCCAGTTTCTTGGATTATTTGCTCAGCATACAGATTGAGTAAGTACGGTGAAAGGATATAACCCTGGTGCACACCTTTCCTGATTTTAAACCATTCAGTGTCCCCAGTTCTTTTCTAATGACTGCCTCTAGGTTCCTTATGAGCACAATCAAGCGTTCTGGAATTCCCTCCCATTCTTAATGATGTTGGCCATAGTTTGTCATGATCCACAAGGCTTTTGCATAGTCAATGAAGTACAAGTAAACGTCTTTCTGGTATTCTCTGCTTTCCGCCGAGATCCATCTGACATTAGCAATGATATCACTTGTTCCATGTCCTCCTCTGAATCCTACTTGAATTTCTGGCCCTGTTGATGTACCACTGTAACCATTTAAAAATTATCTTTAGCAAACTTTTACTTACATGTGGTATTAATGATATTGGTAAATTATTTCAGCATTCTGTTGGGTCACTTTTCTATGGAATGAGCACAAAAGTGGATCTCTTACCATTGGGGGCCAGGTAGCGTCTTCCAGATTTCTTGGTATAGACAAGTGAGTGTCTCCAGTACTGCTTCAGTTTGGTGAACCATTTCAGTTTATATTCCATCAATTCCTGGAGTCTTGGTTTCCACCAATGCCTAGTCACTGCTGTGTGGCCTTCTTCCTTTAGTACTGTTGGTTCTTTATCATATGCTACCTTTTGAAATGGTTGAACATGGATTCTTTTTGGTACCGTGACTGTGCATGCCTT